CTGTTTTAGTTCATGAAGTCTGGTGCATAACCGTTAGGATCTCATCTGCATCGTCACAAGGATTTTGTGGGCTTTGCGGCTCACTCTTGCTTGCTCGCTTTCTCTTAGAACTCGTTGGGATCACCGCGTGTTTGGCCGAGGCGGTGCTCATGCCTCTGATGTGACGTGACTTGTCTGCCCGCTATGGAGCACATCTATATAAAACATGTCCTGCGTCTTGTGCTTGTCTCGACTGCTTCCCCTGTCATACGAGCGCTGCGGAGACTGATGGTTTTTTCAGATGAGACCGTGTGCTACTAGCTCCTGACCACAGTCAGCCAACCAACTCCTCACCTTTTTAATATTGTGCTATGTGTATTTCCCTTTCTTGTTTATTCCAATAAATAACCCAATAAATCTCCTTTCTTTTTCATTTGGTATCGGAGGCCATCGGAATCTTAAACTGCACAGGGTACGATTTTGTAGAGAGGGACTGGATTGGTACTGGTACATGAAAAAGAGAAGTCTTTAACTTGTTATTCCTTCACTGTATTGTGACTTTAACTGACGTGTAAGATCTAATGGTAAATGGTAAATGGCCTGTACTTGTATAGCGCTTTTCTAGTCTTCTGACCACTCAAAGCGCTTTAACACTACATGACATCATTCACCCATTCACACCCATTCATACACTGATGACAGGAGAACCATACACAGTGACACCTGCCATCAGTAACTAACATTCACACACTGTAGTCGCAGCTACAGGAGCAATGTTGGGTTAAGTGTCTTGCCCAAGGACACAACGACATGCGGGTTAGCCAGGCCTGGGATCAAACCCACAACCCTCTGATTGGAGGACGACCGTGCTCCCCACTCACCCACAGTCGCCATCTGAATACCCATTTGGGATTTAGTTTTTGGGATCAACCAATATGCAATAACCAAATGAACTGAGAGTACAATCACACATATTTAGATCAGAGCCCGAACACTGAAACTTCCTTTCCTTTCCTTTTGTTGCACGTAAAGGTTGCCAACTGTGTGAAATCACACCTTTCTGAGTGACACAGTTTGTACTTCCCAGAGACGAATTGATACTTCCGTGTTCTTGCAGTCAGCAAACTATATTTTTCTTTCTTTTACATTTTTCATCGCGAGCCAAAAGATAACAAACATTTATCCACCACGATTCTGTCAATGTGTTGGCAAACAAGTGGGAACGAGATATCAGAATGCTCTGGACTGACTACCCTGCCTTTAACATCCGACCGCTGTGATGACCCCAAACCCTTTTTTATGTCCTAAATGAGTCGTCATGTGGACATAGCTGTCATTGCCATCAGCAGTCATGAGGGACAAAGTGAGTCTTGGCTGCATCTCCGTCTCCCTTGTTGGACGACTCAACCCTTCGTGAATAGAGTGCTTAAAAGCCACCTCCAAAGAGTATGAAAACATTGCGTTGCCTAACACATAATCCACATCATAGGAAAAACAGTGTTTGGTCCCCCGGCAGCGTGACACCACTCAGCGTTTCCCTCACTTGACCTTTTGTCAGATGGCGAGGACCTGAGGGGCGGGCTCTGGTGTGGAGCAGCTTGTGCCCATTCAGATGTTCAATATCTTATCATTCCTGAAGCTAGGAAGGACATGGGGAGTTGTGTGTTGGTGTTGTCTCTCGTACTTGTTCATTTTAGTTGTGATAACTGCATTGGATGCTCCTTGACACTGTTCCGTAACGTGTGAATCTTACAACGCCCAGACGTTTGCCCTCATACGGATGCACCCTGAGTTACCGAGCCAGTGGAATCACTGTTTCTCTGCACTCCGTAGGAGCCTTGTAAATATGTACTTCCACTTGTAAGGTGTCTGGTTACTGGGGGGTTCCGTTGTGGTTCATGCAGACGATGTTCACCACAAGTTGCTGTTTGATAATCAACTTGATTTGTGAATTGCCAGCAGTGATTGTACTTTCGGCGTCAGGACTCTTCGTCAGACCTCTCTCCTCCCGCTGCCGCATCGCACCTACTCCTTATGTAACATGGAGACAAACAATTCATTCAATCGAATGCAGCTGAGGCCAATTACACCTTCACCTGGCACCGATCCCATACCCACCCCACAATCTACGCCCTCTCCAGCCGAGCCAACCCACGTCCGCCACCACCCCTTTAATCATTACTTCATTTAAGGTTGAAGTGATTAAACTATAAACTATTTTTTATCAATCAGTAACTAACGTCTCTGTTTCCTAAATTGCGCAGTTTTTATTAAAAGTTCCATTAAAAATATTGATAATTTATGATATGATAATTTTAGCTGATTTAATGGTAGTATTTCTAAACTGTAACTACTCACCTTTTGATTTTGTGGAAGTGTTTTGATTATTAAAATAGCCGGTAAAAGGACTCACGGTGAATTAGCCATACGCTAATTGTACTCACTTGTTACACGATTGCCAAAATCACCATCGATGCTGTAGACACATTTGGGACACTGGTTCTAAATTTCAAAATAAGATATCACCCTCTTGTGAAAATCTGAGATCTGGGATTTTGGGCTTCAAACTATGCAATAAAATCTCCTTCGAAAGCATTGAACGTCTCTCGAGTGTGACATTTAGATTCTTTGAAATGTATCAATTAAACTAAAGTTTTAGTAATCACCAAGGAAAATTAGATCCAAGACACCACATGCTCAATGCCTTAAACGCCACGCTTTAGGCCGATGATAGGTAGCGTGTCTGGGTAAGATTATAGCAAGGGTGGGCAAACTACGGCCCGTTGGGCGTTTTGATCCGGCCCGTCGAGTATGAATTAGACATTATAGTAACGACCGCTGTAACACTTCTCCCTTCCCGACTTGAGTAAAAACGAACACACATCAGACCCACAGGACCGCGCCGCCCTGCGCGCTCAGGTTTTCCAAAGCTGAGCGACACAGATTGGCTTTGTGATTTTGCTTTTGCTGCAGACATACTGACACACATGAATGAGCTGAACATGAAGCTACAAGGAAAAGATCAGTTTGTGCATGAAAATGTACACAAACGAGAGCCTTCAAAGCCAAGTTGACTTGGAATTGGAACTCATTGATCTTCAATGTGACGCCGTCTTAACCTGGCTGAATTCTATGCTTCACTAAGCGAAGCCAAGTTTGCAAACAGTGGATGCTGGTTTTGTTTGGCTCTACTTAGGTGGTTGAGCAGACGTTCAGCGTAATGAAAACCAACAAATCACGCCACAGATCCCAGTTAACGGATGAACACCTCAGATCTGTCCTGAGAATTGCCACAACAAAGTTGACACCAAACTATCACGTACTGGCAAAAAAGGGGGACCAACAACACTGTTCCCACTGAAATGCAATGTAAAGTAAAAATGTAAGTTCACTTTACTTTTTAGTTATTGGCTTTTACTTATAATTTATATTGGTTGACATAAACACTCTCTATCCATCTGATACCGGCCGGCCCGTCTGTCAAATTTTAAAAGTCAATGTGGCCCCTGAGCCAAAAGGTTTGCCCACCCCTGGGTTATAGGGACGTTAAATCAAAGCTTACTCAAATTACAACATCTTCCCATGCCTTGTTTAGATTTAAACTATTTAACAAAATGGTTCATTTTGGTTTCAATGGAAAAGTTTGATCCATAACAAATTTAATGAAACTGTAGAACCATATCTTAACATATTTTGTTTGAGAACATTGGAATTCATTTAAAACAGAGGGGAGAAAAAATGATACGTGTTGACTTTTGGAAACTAGTAAAAACAAGCTAACCAGAGTATTCAGGAACTATTATTGGTTAACAGTTTATCTGAAGCTAAAGCATAATGGTAAAATGAGTTGTGAGTTGTGAGGATTTTGTACTGGACATCACTCACTTGCATTCGATGCAAGGTTCCCATCCAACATACTATGCTACTGTTTATTTTAATCTCTTCCTCCCACACAAGGTTTTTGTTTTATCTATGCTCTCTTAAATTCTGATTTATTTCAGTTTTACAGTTTACTTTCTATATCACTGGCACCCCCCGCACTCCCCTCCAGGTCCCCCAGAGCCTCACAAACCCCCTGCTGCAACCAGCTGGGGAGAGAGGGAAGGAGAAAATAAAAGCAAAGGGGGAAAAAATAACAATTCTTCTGGGAAAACAAAAATGTGTCCTGTTTCTTGGCGCTCGCCTCTTAGAACAGGAGTATAAAACACAAAAACTAAGGGTCAACAATGACCCCCCATTTTTTAACCCCAAATCTAGTACTAGCCGTACTTCACGAATTGTGAATGCTTTGGGGTAACCTTTTGCAAGTTCTGAAAAGAAAACTAAAGGGAAACATTGACTGGTTTCAGGTTTTTCAGCCATAAAGTTTTATAAACTCAACTTGAGGATTTCAACTAGAAAATGCTTCCATCTGGCCACAAGGTGTATAAGCACAATGATTAGGTAGATAACAGTGAGATAATAAATACAAAACAAAAATGTGAAGACCTTAATTTAAGCACTTTCTAAACGTTTATACTAATGTATTATATAATCTTCATAGATCTGTATGATTTTAGTTATAAGCAATCATAATCAGCCAATCTGAGGATCCAGGACAGAATTTTACATATGTACAGATTCTAAAGCCCTCTGGTGCAAATTTGGGCTGTATGATTGAATGAATGGAACTAAGTTTAATTCTAGGCATAATGCTTTATAACAATATATCATAAACTATTATGAATTAATACTTTATATTACTTCATCACTGCTAAACTCACTGACATTTATTTTAGAGGATCATGGTTTATTAGAACTCTCATAGATGTAAAGGTGTAAGTCTTATGAAAGCCGTCAGCTTTTTTTTATAACTGATGACATGACTGCTTTCTCCATTAGTACACAATGCTCTGAAGAAGTCTCTTTACGTTTTTGTTTGCTTTGCTTAGTCAGTAGGAGATATTCCAAATTTGTTTGCTGTGTAAATGAATACGCTACTGGCCGGAGCTTTTCGTAAAACAGTACAGTAACAATTTTCCTTTGTTTTTGATAGCATTTTCTCTTTTTTATTGCAAATACATATACAAAAGATTCTTTAAAGACCGTACAAATACAAGGCAAGATCACAGAAAAAGGGAAAGTACTGTGAACAAAAAGGAAATAGAACTTTGAGAGCAAAAGGTCCCTCTGGTGATCGCACAAACAAAAGATCAAGAAACAGAAAAAGTGTATAAAGCTTGTAACTGAGATTTTCCAGTTCCATCAGCCATAGTAAAAGTCCAACTCATAGATAATTCACAAATAACAAGTAATCCGTACACAAATCGTTAGATAATCCCACCCAGACCCTCAGGAAAAAGGCAAATACATTTAGATAACATAAATAAACAGAAAAAGACGATTACAGCGTGTACCATTTAGTCTCAGTACCTCCTGGGTGGGAATTCAAAATTGGAAAAAAGGGGGAAATTATATGCCATCTACATTTGCAAAGAGGACATTAGTTATAATAATAGTATGCAAAATAATAATTACTTTGAAATAAAATTAAAGCTAATAAATAAATAAAGTTTTAAACTGGGTTTAAGGATGAAGGGAATGTTTTGGACACCACCATGGTGGTAGTCTGCAGGGAGGGGGGGGTCAAAGGTGACTTCCTGTAGCAGGCTGGACGGTAAGTGTAATCTCAGCTGTGCGCGAACACACTCAGGCATACAAAGAAAGTGTAAAACTCGAAGGCACTGATGGTGGAAAGAGCTGCACCCACCCTACACCCCTCCCCAGGGAAGAGCGGAAAGAAGCAACACATCGAAATCAAACAAACATCTGAATGCGCGCTACCATGAGTGGTGAGCTGCTGAGCCGTGTGACATATAAAGCTTTTTTTCGTCGTATATTTACATGTAGAAATAATTAGCCAGGAACCCCCCATCCTCCCCATTGGTTACTGCCGGCGTGTGAAGAAATCAAACCAAAAATATATCAAGACGCAGTACCTACTGCAATATCAACAATCATTAAGTCCTCACAGAGGATTTTCCTAAGTTTCTCCATCTCTCTAAAAATATATATATATATATATATATATATATATATATATATATATATATATATATATATATATATATATATATAAAAGTTCATATAAAGATAGAATAGCAAGGCACGACGTGAGCCAATCACAAGCCCTCCTCTTCTTCATTCAAGTGTCTGATTTGATTCATGGAGCAGACCCCCGCAGTAAAGTGTTCTGCTTGTCAGATCTGCGTGGTGGTCTCCGTGGCTCTCAGGGCCTGGTGAGTTGGGTGTAGACCGGAGCCTGCTCCCAGTGCTGCGGGCTGCTCTGCGGGATGGACGGGACCCCCGTGGTGTCGGCTATCGGCGTGTACATGGGCCTCTGGCTGGGGCTACTCATGTAGCTGAAAGTCGAGTACAGCCCTGAGCCTTGCCCCGCCCCCGCGTGGCTGTAGTAGCCGGCGGCCCCGCCCCCTTGGTGGTCGGAGTAGTCGTACTGCTGCGCTCTGGAGATGGCGGCCGGGTAGGCGGAGGAGGGGGGGCTGTAGTGCTGCAGGTTGAAGGGGCTGTTGTAGGCGACGTGTTGCGGGGAACCCTGCTGCTCGGTGTAGTGGCTCGGGCTCAGCTGCTCAGTCTTTATCTGGGTCCGGTGCTCGGCGCCCCCTCCCCCCAGTGGGGTCAGAGTATGCTGCTGCTGTCCCTGCTGGTTTTGGCTTTTCGCCAGCCAAGCCGCGGCGGCCCCCGCCTGCGGGCTCACCGGGCTGCCGCCGCTGATGCTGTAGCTGCCGGTGTAAGCGACCGGCGCGGAGCCGCCGGCGGCGCCCGCTAAGCCGGGGTGCCCGTTGGGCGGAAGGTACTGGTCGAACTCGTTGACGTCGAAGGTCTCGATGTGGGAGATGACGTCGCTGCTCAGCTCGCCGATGTCCACGTCGCGGAAGTCGATGTTGAGCTGGCGGCCGCCGGTGCCGTCGGACAGGGAGCGGATGCCACCCTCTCGCTTTAGGTCCATCTTGCCCGAGCTGACATCAGTCTTTGGGGTGGTGGGAGGAGTAGGGGGGCCCTGGGAGCCTGAAAGTGAAGGAAACATGACACATTAGATACTGCTCTCTATGTTCATTCAGTTTTAGTCATTTTAAAGCAACTGATATGATAATACATTATTTACCTTTTTAAGATTTTTTTAAACATATGGAAATATCCTTTAGAGAAAAGACGGAGCAAGGCATTTAAAAACGCGCTATTCCTGCTCACCTGAGTGCTCACCCGGTGAGTGCACCTCTCCCATGCTGGAGGCTGGGGAGTCCGCCTGCTGGAGAGCTTTGAAGATGGCATTGGGGGAAATGTGCGTCTGCTCACTGCCGTCCTCCGACTCGCTCTGGCCGTTCTTGACGGACTTCCTCCGCCGGGGCTGGTATTTGTAGTCGGGGTGGTCCTTCTTGTGCTGCACCCGGAGCCGTTCGGCTTCCTCCACAAACGGCCGCTTCTCCCCTTCATTCAGAAGTCTGCGCGTAAAAAGCACCAACATATGAATTCATGGATTAAACAAACTGCCATCTACTTGTACTTTATGTGTCATTGCTCGACATTATACAGACGATTTGGTGTGCAGATACAACGGAGGTCGATATAATAAGACACCAACAACTCTCCTTCCATCGTAATGTGTGTGTTACAGCTGAATAGCGCAGCGTGCACACTTACCTCCAGAGTTTCCCCAGAGTTTTGCTGAGCTCTGCGTTGTGCAGGTGAGGATACTGATCAGCCAGCTTCCTGCGCGCAGCCTGAGCCCACACCATGAAAGCATTCATCGGTCTTTTCACGTGAGGCTTGTTCTTAGAGGACCCGTTAACGCGCACTGGCATAGGCACAAGAGTCCAGTCGTAGCCCTTGAGCACCTGGGACACTGCCTCGCGGATGCAAGCGGGAAATTTATCGTCCTCATCCTTCTTAAACTCTCCATCTAGACCGAGTAGCCCGTTCTCAGATGGCCGGGTGTTCTCTGTGTCGGAGCCCGAGCCGGACGGGCACGGAGATCCCGCGGAGTCCTCGGACATGCTCGGGCTCGGGGCGTCGGAGAGACATTTGTCTTGTTCCTCCGTCATCTTCAGGTAAGGGTCGAGGAGATTCATGCGAAAAACTGTGTGGTGCCAAATTACGCTTGAAACGAAGGAGTTTCTACTGCTCTCTCGTGAGAGGTAAAACGTCCCTAAATGGACCACCTTTTTCCTGGACAACTTTGATCTTTTAACTTAGAGAACCGCACCGAAAAACGACGACTGGTTATCTTTCGCTCCGGTGCGTAAAACCGATTTGGAGCGAGAGTGTCTTTACGCACGGGTGTCCGATGGACTCCGAGGAGGAGTGGGTTTTCTGCGAGCCGGCCCGCACTTAAAAAGGGTAAAAACAAAAAGAACAAGCCAGCTGGTTAGAGTTCACTCTTAACTCGGTAGGATGAAACGGTAAAGTGCTCCTCTCTGGTCTCCAAGTACAATCCCCAGAACGTGTGAGTGCTTTGAACTGCAAACCTCACGCATGGGATCTTTATAAGACCGCTTCCATGCCGCACAGGAAAGCCCAGATCTGATTGGATAACAGAACGTGACGCCAAACTGAAGGAATTCGATACCGCTTTTTCCCCCACCACTAACCAGCACACAAAACACACACTTTCCCTAAAACACGCACACACGCACACACGAGCCAGTCAGTATGCATAGAGCTTAATCCGGCTTGATTTTCCAATAGATTATAACAACGCTTTATGGTGAAACATTTTTACAACTGCAATTTAATCAGACGAACGGAATACATTAATTAATGCGTCTTCTACTTTTATAGAGGGAACAACTTTTTTGTTTTTACGAGGGGAAATAATGAAATACAAATTAGTTGCTAAAGCATGATAAGTATAATTAAGCCCGAGAGAAAACGATATCATAGAGCCAATGCAATTTTCGTTATTCTGCATCATAAACAGCCAAAAACACTTAATATTGCTACATTTAATTTAATTTTCTTCTGTTTTAAAATGTCCCTCTCCATGCCGGCTCTATACAGTTACCCCCTGTGGTCAATAGGGGGAGACAGCAGTCTAGGAACACGGAAAGTTTTCCCCCTTCCCTTGCTGAGAGTAGGCAAAGGCTGAGGGTGGACGTGTGGGGGGGAGGGGGGGAGAGGGAGCTCCAGCTCGAGCAGACTGCTGCAGAGCAACAGCTGGCGTCTAAAACCAGCTCCTGATTCATATCGCTCATTTGATTTCCAGCAGCAGAGCAGCGACCCGGTGAACAGCGATTTTTGTGCAATTTGGGACATTTTTTTCAAGGTATCATACAGAGGCAAACATTTGATTAAATGTTTTACTGGTATCCTACCATTTTTGTTAACTTTGCAAAAGAACGCACAACACATTTTCAGCATATAACCAGTGGCAGAGGAGCAGCGAGGCCTTTCACTATAGCAAAGGTTCTGCATTCCAAAACTTCACCTATTTCAAAAGTTTAAACCCATGGTGTGAGACATTTCTAAAATAAGACGAAAAAGTCTCCCACATCTGAATAAAACATAAGAGCGCTAATGCCCAAATGTGGGATGTCCTCAACAAGTGGGGAACTGCTCCAAAGACAGTGAATTAGGAAAGATGTGACTCAGGGCAATGTTGTGATTTTTTTGACTTTTTTTTTAGGCCTTTTAGTGTCGCAGGTCATTTTAAATACTTTACAAACTTTTGGTAGTGTAATCTGGTAAAATACATAATATTTCTACTTGGAATTAAAAAAATCTTAAAATGCAAACTAACCAGTAGATATAACTTTTGCTGTTTAAATGTATTGGAGTGGTACATGCAATATGTCCCTCCAAAATGTAGAAGTTGCAACAGATAGAGGTAGTCGAGTACATGTACCTTCAAATTGTACACGAGCATAATACTTGAGTAAATGTGCTACTTGGTACTGACAGCTGTATTAATGTGCGTCATCAATGAGTGTATTTTCACCTCTCTGAACACACCGACACACACACGGCCCCTTTGTCCTCCCTCTTCACCCGAACACAGTGCGACTCTCCAATCCCAGTGAGGTGAAGAGCTCTGCTCTCTGATGCTAACCTGCCTGCACACGCCCCCTTCTGATTGTTTATTATGCTTTGTGGAGATGTGGAAATGTAAATCTCAGTTCAGCCTAATGTGGACAACGTGTGCTACCTGAAGTTGCTTTTAATAGCTCACAGATGTCACGTGGAGCTATTTTCACCGCTCCGCCTGCTCGGCTGCTCCGGAGCTAAATACACGGATCCCCTCTCTACCTCCCCCCACCCATCAACAGATAAAACCCTTTTTCTTTCTCTGCATTATGTTGCTTGTTTGTATTCACTGCTTGAACTCTGAATCACACGGTGATGCTTTCTCTCCCACGATCATAGGCCTGTGGTTCCGAAACACTAAAGGCCTAACATGATTGGCCTCGTCCACCCCCCCCGGACAGTTTATTTACACAGGACAGGCTTATTTAAGATTCTCGCTCTGAACACAAATAGGAGGGAGCAGCCTGGCTCTGCGTTAATAGCTCCTGGGACGACGCTGCGGTCGAGTGCGCGCTGCGTACCGCTACACAAGGCCACCGAAACACCATCCGTGGAGCTGCAGGGGCGTGTACCACTCGCAGAGGGGTGGAGTACGCAGGACTGCTGTTGACGGAGTCTAGTCGGGTAGCGGAACTGAGAAAAGACGGTGAAGTAGAATGACAAAGGGGAGGAGAGGGGGTAACAGAAGTGTAGGTGGGTGTAGGAGAAGGAGGGGTGTTTACAATGCCAAGAGAAAACACAAGAATTAGCAGGAAGGATAATATCAGAAAAAGTCTTACTCGACACTGTTATAAAATCATTAAACAGGGCATTTATTAAATAATACTTGCAAGCAAGAGCAATATTTGACAACATAGACAGAGTCTTCAAGGCTTCTTATGGTCTTCTCCAGCGCCAAAATATATAGCTGAAAGATAACATGATGAAACAGGGAAGGCTTTGTGCACGTGTCCAGCCTTGGGCGAGGCATACATCTCTGCACCACAAGACATCGAGCGGTCATCTGGACATCGGACATCTTATCTCCGCTGAAAGGTCAGACGCACATCTCATTGTACAAATGGTACAGATATAATATTGTCTGAAACCCCTTCTGAGCATAACATGACATTATTGCAGTTGTGAGGAGCGGCTGGGGTACCACCTGGGAGCACACCTCAAACACACACAAATATATACACACACACAGACGCACTAACATTGTAACGGCATATGTAACCTTCACTCCCACTCGCCATCTTGTCAAAACTGTAAAAAAGAAACAGATCAATACAGTTGAGCGCACCCCGCCTCCTCCTCCTCTTCCTTCTCCACATGTCATCCCGGGAAGTTAGACTCCAAAAAGGATTTATGTGATAACTTAATGTCCCTCAAATAAGTTTGAAACTTGTCAATGGTTTGTTGGAGATCTGTCTGTGGCTTTAAAGTTGCAGTAGGGTGAATGTGAACCGCTTTCAGATTTCTTTGTTAAAGGGGCTTTGGGATGACGGCCAGAGGCTGGAAAGGTGCGGCAGGCATGCAGACACAGCGAGGTCTTGGGAAACTTCTCATCTTGACTTGGAGATACAGCGTAAAAATTCTGAGCAAACAGTAGGAGTCAACTGCTAAACCCAGTCTCCTTTCTTTTGGAATCTCATTGCGCCTGCTTCGCGTTAGTGAGCTTTGCTGCTCTGGCGAACGGACAATAAGGGTCCAGGTTTCTGATTATTTTTAAAGGTTCAATGTTTAAACAAATGAAAAATTAGTGCATGCAATTAAATTGACTTGAGTTACTCTGGGGTAACCCAATGAAATTACCTTTGGGAGGGTTGGAAGCAATCGGTCTCAAGATATTTTACAATTTTTCTGTTGGTTTTGCGCTGTATTCACGCAGTGACGGCACGATATAGAAACAGGAAAAAAAACTCCTGGTGTTCTCAAACCATTTTTGCAGCACAATTGACACTTTCCATGCATTCATGGTCCATATCAATTTCAATATGGTCTTTAAAGCATAACTTAATATAGAATTCTAATAGTCTAATAGTGTTTATATTCCAAGTTCCAAAGCTCAGCGGGGGTGATACATGAAAATGATTTGGAACAGATGGAACATGTGATAGACACAAAACCTGTTAATATTCAGGCAACATAACTACTTCGCTACTTTGTTACTTGGTGTAAAGAACGATAAAATACATCCATATTCACTGGGTTTCACTCATACAACGAACAAAGGCCTCCTGGGTGAAAGTCCTGTGTTAGTTTGAGCCCCTAATCTCCTTTAATGCCAACGGCCACTAGAGGTAGAATTCATCTTCCTACGAGTCGGTGTAGCAAGCCTGTTCTCATATACCGATATCTATGAGGCCATTAACCCCCATTCAATCCACTGATAACATTTCGTCTTACGATTTGCTGTTTTCAAAAAAACATGTGTTTTGCTTATTTACAACGAGGTGAATCAGATCAAACCATTGCAGGTGCTCCGAGTCGATCTTCCTGTTCCGAGCAAGAAAAACCCAAACATCCATGAAACATCCTGACAAAAAAATGGCAATGAGATCGACAGAGATGATGTCTACGGGTTTATTAAAATCATCATCATGTAGAATCCAGAGTTCCTTAAGTGATCGTATAATGCAACAAATTGTACCTTCATAAACCGCTGCTGTTATTTGTTTGAAGCATAGCAGAGCGGGAGGAGCAGAGCTATTCTATAAATACATGATAGAATCCGACGGAAACGCCTCATCTCGGTGCTCGTAGCTTTCAGAGAGGTGTGATGTGGCGCTTTCAGAAGATCGGGAGTGATTAATAGCCCTCGCGAGGATGTGCGTGTCCGTCCCGCTCTGATCTGAGCGTCTGGGCAGCGGGTGTGTGTTGACTGAACGTCATTCTGCTCCTCGTGCTGTTTGAACAACACTTAGAAAAGACCCAGGCAACTCCAGAGGAGGATTGCTCAGTCTGCTATCCATCAGCGACCCAGCTCATGCTGCCAGACTCTCCCGCTTATGTCTCAAAGTTTCAGTTTCCTTGCTTTTTTTCACTTTTTTTTGGCATTCAAACCATTAGCTCAGCAAAAATCTGGGCAGAAAGTCATCCCGGATAATTGCCTCCAAGTTAGCAAGTCAACGACGGTCCTCGAGACTAAATCCTTCAGAAAACCAACTCGGCCCCCACATGCCCGTACATTTCCCTGCAACCTGAGTTATCGCTGATGAACACAAATGTGCATTTGCTGAGGGTAGCGCGCTGTGCGAGAGGTCGAAGAAGCGAGAGGAAACCTAATCCACACGGGCTGAGTCGGAAAACCCGCAGAGAAGTACCGTTTCCCTCCAAAGATATGGCCTGTGCTAACAGCCCTCACTTTAACAATAACAGTGGTCTCACCCAGCCAGGCCAAGCTAACTAATGACAGATCCACACCTTAATGCTGAGCAGTTGTTTGGGTTTAGGAAAGGGAGGATGTGTGTGTATGTGCGTGTGCGCGTGAGTGGAGTGAGTGAGGAGTGGTTTTCTTAGGGGAAAAGAATAGCAGTTGTCAGCGGGGTGGCTCGTGCCACTGGAAAACGCCTCCACCTCCCCCGCTTCCTTCTACCCCGGGACAGACAGCAGCACCGTAATCCGGGCGGAGATCGAGGCAGAAAAACTCTGACGCAGCAAAACACTTCCCTCCGAGCGCGAAAAGACGTCCAGCCGTAACGCAGCACATTTCTGACGCTTATTGGATTGGGCTCAAGGTGGCGGTGAGGGGAGAGGAGGAGGGAGAGGGGCTGGGGGGGGGGGGCAGTGTGTTTGTGGTCCTCTTTCTTTCTTTTTTTAATAGTCACAGCCAGTCTCTTTGCCAGCAGGGATCCATTTCCTCTCTGGGCACCTCATCACAGGCAGTGACTCATTGAGTGGTGAAAAAACGAATTACATTGCATCACAGGATGTAGCATTTTACATAAGAAAATATTAATAAATCAAGAATATATATATATATATATATATATATGTATATATATATATATATACATATATATATATATATATATATATATATATATACATATCTTTATACTATATGTGGCGTACTGTATATACTTATATACAGTATATCAGTAGTCATTCTTTTGTGTCACGAACGGGTGTCGGCAGAGGCAGGACTCAAACGCAGAGTTCAAACAAAAGACTTTAATAGTCAAAATTCCAACTCATTATTCCAAGGGGGGCAAAAACACAGCCGGGAACTAGGAACACTCAGGCTTGAACATTCAACAATGACGCGACAAGTGACAAGAGACACACATGGCTTAAATACACCGGGAAGGTGCAGGTGATTGGACACAGGTGGAAACAATCATGACACGACAGACAATCACAGGGGATGACAGGACAAGGCAGGAAGTGAAGTTAACCCAGGGGCACCAGAGGCATGAAACTACAAAAAAAAATGCCTGAACCCAAATTGTGACAGAACCCCCCCCCCTCATGGGCCAAATTCCAGATGGTGCTAAAGGGCAGGCGGAACCAGTAGAGAGCAGACAAGGGGCGGGAGGGAGGGGACCAGGAGACGAGGGTCGGGCCATCCAGGGAACTCCGGCGGGCGGCCCGGCGAACGGCCAGTTGGCCGGGGAGCCTATGGGGGTCGGCCCGGAGGTCGGTCAGTTTGCCGGAGTCGCCGGCTGCAGGACACGGGAAGCCGAGGGCGCCGGCTGCAGAACACGGGAAGCCGGAGGCGCCGGCTGCAGAACACGGGAAGCCGGAGGCGCCGGCTGCGGGACACGGGAATCTGGGCACAGTGGCGCCGGGGGCAGGAGTCGTGGAGCTGGATCAGGAGGTTGCTGCAGCCCAGCGCAGAAGGAGGTGCACTGCGGCCCAGCGGGGTCGGGAGGTCGCAGCGGCCCGCGCACGGAAGGTGGTGTGCTGCGGCCCAGTGTGGAGAGAGTAGGTGGCCTGGAGTTTGGCAGCGAGCTCCATCACCCGCTCCCAGTGCGATCTGACACGTATAAATACAAATATTTCACATTGTTTCATTAGCATATACATCAGCATTAGAAGCGATTCAACCTGCTTCCTTACAACTGAAGGGCGTTGCACTCAGCGATCTGTATCCAATGAAACGGTGATGATATCTCGCTGCTTTGGCTGACTGGCCTCTGCTGCGTCCCTCCACTGAAAACCTCCATCCTACTCTAACCACATCCATCCAGATTAAAAGACCGCTGTTGAAGGAAGAAAGACTGAAGTAGATTTAATGACGAGAAGTAGTTATAGCCAATCAGGCAACCTGACAAACAGTGGTTAGAAATGTACTGTACTAAAGTTGAAATAGGTAGTTTTTGCAGGTTTTTAGTCACAAACTAAAGTAATACCCTATCATTCTCATTTACTTAAGTCATTTGGATTCATTCTTTGGGCAACAGTGATGACAGTATAAAATTTAATTTCAATCTTTCTGGGATTTTTTCCTGTTTTGTCTGTCTGTTGTAAATCTCCTCTCCAGGATAAAATGTCACCTACAGTGGGTCTCCAGCACCAGCCACGGAGCAATAGAGCTGGATTCAATATAGCGGGCATGTATATAGTAGTAGAGGTGCTGATGGAAGTGGACTGTAACCGCTGTAGTTTGGCTTCAGGCTTTGATCCGCAAGTGTCACCAAACCAATGCACGGCCGGATTATTTTAATTCTAAATCTGGCTATTGATATGCTCTGGGGATCAGGTTAATTGGTGACTCTAAATTGCCCGTAGGTGTGTGGATGTGAGTGTGAATGGTTATTTGTCTCTGTGTCGGACTGCAATTGACTGCATGGCGACCAATCTAGGGTGTACCCCATCTGTTGGCCGAATTGGGCTGGGATTGACTCCAGCCCCCTTGCGACCCTGTATCCAGGATAAGCCGTTTGAAGATGGATGGATGCATTAGGATATCGCCACTTTCACAAGAAGAGATTTAAGTTCATGAAGACCTGACAAAAATATGTAAATAGCATCTGTCCTCGGCTCTATGGTGCGCAGTTGTTTGTTGTTGTTGTTTGCTGAAACGATTTTAGTGTAAAATGAAGGCAGGTTAATGAAACATTAGGGTTACGACATTACAAACATTCCATTTGCAGTCAAAGAAAAACATTTTAAAAGTGGGGATTATAAGAAGAATGCATTTGTTTTCTTAATTCAAAACTCAAGGGGCTCTTTAGTGCTTGAAGTAATAAACAAACATTTTGAAAATCCAAGATGATCCACACTATTGTTACCGTTTATGATTGTTAGAAATTGTAGAAATTGCCATAATGCTAAATCCAAACTTCTAACCCAATCCAGGGTGTACAAAGTCTCTCGCCCAAAGTTGGTTGGGATAGAGTCCAGCCCTGAATGGAGGAGAAGTGGCTTTGAAGATAACCAACACGTTTACATTTTATTTCACAATGCTGAATATAGTGATTCAATTCTGAGTCGGAGCACAGCATTTTAATAGCATTTGTTTTACAATCCAAGTCAGTCGAGCCGAGAGCAGATGGTGCACAAATATACCGATGTCCTTCATTTAGCTAATGTTGTCAATATTTGTCTTTGTGACAAAAAGTTGTGGAAAGTCAACCTCACCACCAGTCCTTTTCGCACTCCAACTTGCTTTTTCTATATAAACCAATAAACATGTGGTGTGCTGGCCACATGTTTGACCACATACTAAAACAATGTGAATACAGCATTGCGTCATTTAAGAATGTGTGTGTTAGTATATGTGTGTTAGTGTCTGCGCTTGAGCAAGCACACCGCACAATTAGCCTACAACTTCTTTTCTATGCATTGCGTGTAGGCTGGTCCAAAGCTCTGCCGGTGTGGAACAAGCCAGCTGTGGTTTCAGGTCCAGTCCTGATTCGCCACATCTGGTCTCATCCCCTTTATGAGCTTTCACATTTGTCAGAAGTCGTCCTCCAGTATCATGATCATTTGATTATTAACTAATCTTCTCCGAGCAGAATTGATCGGCCCAAAGCTCTGTGTGATTGTCTCCATGAGGCGCAACTCCGGTAGAAATAAGATTCAGATGGGAGCCAACGACTTCATTGACAGGAAGCACTTGTTGAATTTAACTTTATCCTTTTCAAACCAACAATCCCCTCATGAGGTTTGATTGGAATTTCTCAAATGGTTGGTAAGGGGTCACGGCTGGTGGTGCTTTGCGGAGGTATTGCGGGGCAGATTCTGAATCACAGCCCGCTACATCTGTTTTTACGTCATTTGAACCAGCAGTGAACTGACTTATTTCAGCATCCTAATATGTTCAATTACTGCCCTCTTATGTACCTTAAATGTTTGCACTTAAATAAGAATAGAATATAATTACTCAGCAAACAGCTTAAGTTGTGCAATACGCAAACATGCAACAAGTCATTGCACTCGGGAGGAAATACCATCGGTTGTCTCTGCTGACTCAGAATGTCCACTCTGAGAGTCTCGGCAAACGCGACTGCCCAGTCGGATCTGTTCAGCCTCCATGAGAACTCGGAGCTGGATTTCTTCTTCTACCGTTTAGGTAGCGCCAGTCTTCTGTGCCCAGACAGGTCATGCCTTTTTTTTTTACAAAGCTACAGTAACCTGTCTCCAGTCCGTGCCGCCTCACCGGTCTACTGTTACACGTGGCGATGGGAAATTGCTCAGTCTGATTTCCTGCCATCAATATCTCAGCATACTCAGGCGTTCACAGAGCGCAGACAGGGATAGTTCCCGGAGAGGAGAGTGGGGCGGGCGTGCAATGAGAGGTCATCTTTTTTAATTTTAAGTGCAAGGCCGGTATTGTTTTTTTTCCTAAAGAAAGTGTAGGAGCACAGTGAGGGGACGGGGGCGGGGTGTAGAGTAAATACACAGAGATTAACTACAAGATTCAATTGTTTTAACTGAATCATAACACGTTTTATTGGCAATTCATTACATTACATTACAGGTCATTTAGCAGACGCTTTTATCCAAAGTCACTTACATTACACTTTAAACCCATGGCTTTTCACATTTTGCCCAGGGAGCAATTAGGGGTTAGGTGTCTTGCTCAGGGACACTTCGACTTGAGACTTCGACTTCGACAATTCAATATTCAGAGGACCAACGGCAGTGCACAACTTTTTGCTATCTCAATAAATAGTGCAGTACAATATTCAATTAAAGTTAAACAAGGTCTATTTCAAGGGTCTCATTCAAAAGTCAGGAACAAAAGAATAATGTTACTTGCGCGATTTAGTGTTTGTTAAGTGTTAGTTGCCTAACAACACACTGTCAAATCAGGAAAAGTCAGTTGGATTGAACAATATGCCCACAATAGTCATTCAGTTTTCAAATTGAGCTGGATTATGGAAAATACATGCCTTCTCTAATAATAACGTTTTTTTTTCATCTTGACTAATTTCAAGTAAAATATGGACTGTTATGAAATTAACTAAACTGAGATTTCCTTTAGCCTTACTTTTATTAATTGAGGTTTAAAGAGATAATATTATGTTCTTGTCATACTTTAAAAAGAGAAAGGTGTATGCAGCAACATTTTTCAGCTCTATTCCCCTTTCCGTTTAAATCATTGTTGAAAAGACTAATTGTATGTTAGGATTCGGATCGTATTGTCATCTTAAGTTCATTTTTTGGTGTCTTATTTTGTATTTTAGTCGGTTTGCTCAGAATCCTCAGAAGTGTTGCACGACTTTTAACTAATTGTAAATGCCTCTAAATAAATGAGACACAACAGTTTTGAACTGGAAGAAGGGACATATAAAAGTCTGCATTCTTGGTGAAAGGCTGTGGTGTCCTTTCGGAGAAGGTCATGTGACGTGTCATGCCGTTGACTCTTTGTCTTTGCCGACTCACTTGAGTTGAGGGTGATGCTTATCATAGTACACACATTGGATTGGATGAGCAGCATACCAGGAGATGATTTTCAATGCATGTAATTTGTTTGTGTGTTTCGAGTGATGTCTGGGTACGAATCAACCATTAATGACCGTCGGTATAGTTATTTCTAGCTGAGCAGTGGAATGTCACTCTATGTGTTTGCTGCTTTCTGAGCTTCTCTGTCCTTTTTTCTGCCGTGCCGTGGCTTTTAGATTACGCAAACATACAGCTGTGACAGTTTGCCCTCATTTCTTCTCACGGCAAAAAAAAACATTGCCTCCATGCCAGATACATTCTGGACCAGTGACCTTACCCATAATTCATGCAAATAGGAAGAATCCGCAGGGCCTTAATTATAAAGGATGGCAAACTCTTTTCTTAAGCTGCCTCAATTTGAAATTGAGGCAGAAAGGATGGATATATTTTCACATCAAATTGTTGCCAAGTGCAGCTTTAAATCCGACCCCGTAAAAGCCAGGAACCTTTCTGAGCCACAGCTTGATCGGCCCTCTTGAACTCGGAGCCACGAGCTGAGCTGCTCATCGCGCCACTGACGCTCGTAATTAAAAATCTCCAGTTACTTCCTCCTTACCTCTGTTGACCCGGCCGGCCTTGTAGGCCCAGCATGTACCCAGGATCAGTGAACCGCCTCTGGGGAGCCACGGCAGGAACTTGGCCCGTGTGCTGGACGCAGACCGGACGACGCTGGGAGTCAACGGGGGAGTTGACTTAAGGGTGAATGGGGTGATTGCCGCAGACGAGCGTGCCAGGAAAACACTAGGCAATCACGATGCCAGCCTCTCACTCGAGTAGGCTGCTGTGTTACATGAGACGGCCCTCTACCTGGGGAGGAAATTGCTGAGGTTTGAACATGACAGAGACGAACTGACACAATACGAAGAAGAAAAAAACGTCAGGAACGCAAGCAATCATATTTCTGTCTCTGGGTTCTCCACGGAAGCAGCACCTCTAACACCCAGGAATGCCGGAATGTCGGCTGACGTCCTCCTCATCAGGTAGATGGAGAGAGGCAGGGTGGACGGGTTGTCGTTTTAGGGTGGAGCTCAGTCATTTGGACCCGTCTGAGGATTCAGCTATTGCCACTTGAAATTCGACAAG